AAAAAAAAAAAAAAAAAAAGAGCAGCAGGTGTCACTCTAAGGACTTGGTCTTCATTTGGGGGTGGTAGAAGCTAAGCGGAGGAGAGAACTCGCCGGAGATTTCCTTTAGTAAGCTGAGCATGGAAATGGCATGGAAGGTGCTCAGATCAAGGGGAGACGAGAGACTAGAGTTGGGATACCCATTTAGGGAACCTGGCAACAGGGTAGGGTGATGGTAAGTTTTGTGTGTCAACCTGGTTAGGCTGTGGTACCCACCTGTGGAATCACACTAATCTAGGTGTTTCTGTGAAAGTGTCTTCTGGATGTGATTAACAGCTACAGTCTGCTGACGTTACTTTTTTTTTATTTATTTATTTTGAGATGGAGTCTTGCTCTGTCACCCAGGCTAGAATGCTGTGGCACGATCTCAGCTCACTGTAACGTCCGCTTCCTGGGTTCAAGTGATTCTCCTGCCTCAGCCTCCCCAGTAGCTGGGAATACAGGCACGTACCACCATGCCCGGTTAATTTTTTCATTTTTAGTAGAGGCAGGGTCTCAACATGTTAGCTAGGCTGGTTTCAAACTCCTGGCCTCAGGTGATCCACCTGCCTCCGTCTCCCAAAGTGCTGGAATTACAGGCGTGAGCCACCACGCCTGACCAATCTGTTGACTTTAAGGTAGTCTTAAGTGAAGTGGATTTAAGTAAAGTCTGCGATATAATGAGCCTCTTCAATCAGTTGAAGTCCTTAAGAATAAAACTGAGAGCCAGGCACGCTAGCAAATTCAGCACTTTGGGAGGCCAAGACGGACAGATCACCTGAGGTCAGGAGTTCGAGACCAGCCTAGCCAACATGGTGAGACCCTATCTCTAATAAAAATACAAAAATTAGCCGGGCGTGGTGGTGGGTACCTGTAACCCCAGCTACTCGGGAGGCTGAGACAGGAGAATCGCTTGAACCCAGGAGGTGGAAGTTGCAGTGAGCCAAGATCGTGCCACTGCACTCTAACCTGGGCAACAAGAGTGAAACTCCTTCTCAAAATAAATAAATAAATAAGAATAGAACTGAAGTTTTCTGGAGAAGAGAAAAACTCTACCTCAAGAATGCAACAGAGAAATTCTGCCCCAGTTTCCAGCCTGCCCTCATGGATCTTGGACTGGCCAGTCCCCATAATCATATAAGCCAATTCCTTTAACTCTCTCCCCTTCTCTCTCTCTCTCTCATAACACTCATCCCTACGAGGGGGAGAAAGAGATAAATACATCCTGTCCGTTCTCTGTCTCTGGAGAACTGATTGACACAGGAGATAGGTTATTGACCTTTGAAACTTTTTGTTGTTGCATACCATAAATTAAAAATAAAATTAAATTTTAAAAGATACACTTCAATATGTATATTTTTATTTAGAAATTATTTACATGTATCCAAGTATTAATATATATGTTACAAAACACAAAAATAGAAGAATTTTAAATGAACTTTAAGAATAACTGGAACTCAGAGTTGAAGCATTTTCTTCCTGTGTTTATCAAGGCTTACAGTTTTTGCAAATCAGCTGACCAAGGTGACAGATGACAAAGGTCAAACTACAGTGACTGCAATATAATAAGGACTGAATCAAGATAAAGATGAAAGACTAAGTCCATTTTCTTTTCTCTTTCTTTTTTTTTTGAGACAGAGTCTTGCTCTGTTCCCCAGGCTGAAGTGCAGTGGCATGATTGTGGCTCACTACAGCCTCTGCCTCCCCAGTTCCAGGGATTCTCCTGCCTCAGCCTCCTAAGTAGCTGGGACTACAGGAAGACGCCACCATACCTGCTAATTTTTGTATTTTTAGTAAAGATGGGCTTCCATCATGTTGGCCAGGCTGGTCTCCAACTCCTGACCTCAACTGATCTACCCGCCTTGGCTTCCCAAAGTTCTGGGATTACAGGTGTGAGCCACTGTGCCCAGCCCCAGCCAGAATAATTTTCAGCTTAACATTTGCTTATCTATATTTAAAACAAGAGGTTTCCCTGAAGTATAAACTTTCAATATATTTTTTCAGTTCTCCTCAAAATTGTGAGTGTACAAACACAATCAGAAATTCTGCACATCCCCAGATAACCAGACGGTTAGACTTTTTCAGCCTAATGCCAGATTTACATCAAGATCATTCTTACCTATCTTGGTGAGCCTGGCTCATGTTTAAAATAATCCCTGGCACTTGAATAATTTTGCTTCCAAAGCAGTTTCATTGGCTTTGACTCAGCATTGCCTCACAAGAAAGACTGGAAGCAGGAAAGTTTGGAATGGCGTCCCTCTTTTTGTAGATGGGTCTTATTAATAATGACAAAAAGTAGTCCAGCTTTTTGGAAATAAAAGGTAGAATGGCGGTTGCAGAGTAGAGACGAGAAGGGAAGGAAAGAGTTGTTCAGTGGGTGTAGAGTTTCAGTTTTGCAGGACAAAAAAATTCCAGGGATTTTTGCATAATACCGTGCTGATAGTTAATGTGACCGTACACTTAACCAGAGTTAAGATAGGTTTTATGTTATTCACTTTTTTCTATTATTTTAGTTTAAGTTCCGGGATACATGTGTTGAATGTGCAGGTTTGTTACATAGGTATACATGCACCATGGTGGTTTGCTGCACCTATCCGCCCGTCATCTAGGTTTTAAGCCCCTCATGCTTTAGGTATTTGTCCTAATGCTCTCCCTCCCCTTTTCCCCCGCCCCATGACAGGCCCCGCTATGTGATGCTGCCCTCCCTGTGTCCATGTGTTCTCACTGTTCATCTCCCACCTATGAGTGAGAACATGCGGTGTTCGGTTTTCTGTTCTTGTGTCAGTTTGTTGAGAATGATGGTTTCCAGCTTCATCCTTGTCCCTGCAAAGGACATGAACTCATTTTTTATGGCTGCATAGTATTCCATGGTGTATATGTGCCACATTTTCTTTATCCATTCTATAATTGATAGGCATTTGGGTTGGTTCCAAGTCTTTGCTGTTGTAAATACTGCTGCAATAAACATACTTGTGCATGTGTCTTTATAGCAGAATGATTTATAATCCTTTGGGTATATACCCAGTAATGGGATTGCTGGGTCAAATGGTATTTCTGTTTCTAGATCCTTGAGAAATTGTGAAGCCGTATGCGTTTTTATTTTAAACATAATAAAAAAAATAAGTAAGCTGGGGTTTGGGGATGTTAAACAAATTGACCAAGGTCACACCATCGATCAATAGATAGATAGCGGTAGGATTAATGTCTTTTGGGGGAAGTTCATGTTCTTTCCATTATATGGAGCATTATATAATGCAATATATTGCATATATTTATGCAATATATAAAAGGAAATTTTCCTTCCCTTCCTGTCTGTGGCATATAAATTTGGAGGAGTCTAGACTGTCTTTGCGATAACAGATAGTTAAGCAGATTCCAAATATTTCCTTTTTTAATCCTTCATGTACAACATTGACTTTTCTAATCAATCGTTAAAATAAATCTCAAGGATTTGCCGGATTATTTGTGAAATGCATCAGGGAGCACTGCAACTTACCAGTCAATACACAGGTACCTAGCCCGGAAGGTAGAAGACAGGAGAGCCATCCCCAACTCCTGGCCACCATCCAGGTCTGTGATTTCACTTTCAAATGACAAATCAATGACATGTGAGCATGCCGTAGCTCCCAAATCACTCCATCACAGCAGAAGACACAAACACTGCAACCCACCGGCACCAGGAACATGCACCCAGCAGATCCAGATGCACAGGTGAGATCTACGGATTAGAAAACCCCAGGGAGCTCTGTAGCTATTAGGAGGGAAAGAGTTTAGAGGAGGCTGCTTCTGAGCTGTTCAGCTGTTCCTAACCATTCTTGGAAATATGTCTCTCAGTTGATCCCTTGATTGATTGATTGATTGATTGAGACAGAACCTTGCTCTGTTGCCCAGGCTGGAGTGCAGTGGCATGCCACCACAACTCACTGCCTTCTGGGTTCCAACAATCCTCCCACATCAGCCTCCTGAGTAGCTGGGAGGTATGTACCACTACATCTGGCTGATTTGATTATATTTTGGTAGAGATGGGGTCTCACTATGTTGTCCAGGCTGGTCTCAAACTCCCAGCTGGGCTCAAGCAATCCTCCTGCCTCAACCTTCCAAAGCTCTGGGTTTACAGATGTGAGCCACCACAAGGCCCACATTTTTTAAAACTATTTTAGTGAACCTCTCTTAGCATCAGATAAGTTGTGTATTGAACACATACTACCACAGAGTGACATTACAAATCTCAAAATACTCATTGTATTACTCTGCTAGGTCAGCCATAACAAAATACCACACACTGGGTGGTTTACCCAACAGAAATGGATTTCTTCCAGCTCTGAAGTCTAGAAGTCTGAAATCAAGATGCAAGTAGAGTTGCTTTTTCCCAAGGCCTATTTCTTTGGCTTGCAGACTGTCCTCAGATGGGCCTTTCTCTGTGAGCATGGCCCTGGTGTCTCCTCTTTTTTTTTTTTTTTTTTTTTTTTGAAATAGAGTTTTGATCTGTTGCCCAGGCTGGAATGCAGTGGTGCAATCTCAGCTTACTGAAATTCAAGCAATTCTCATGCCTCAGGCATGTGCCACCATGCCCAGATAATTTTTGTATTTTTAGTAGAGATGGGATTTCACCATGTTGGCCAGGCTAGTCTCGAACTCCTGACCTCAGGTGATCCACCAGCCCCAGCCTCCCAAAGTGCTGGGATTACAGGTGTGAGCCACTGTGCCCGGCCTTCATTTTCTTCTTATAAAGACATGAGGTCTGTTGGATTAGAGCTCCACCCTTATGACCTCGTGTAAATGTAATTACCCCTTTGAAGACCTTATCTCCAAGTACCATCACATTCCAGGCTAAGCCATCAATATTTGAATGTTGGTGTGGGGTACACAGTTCTCTCTATAGCACTCATTTTTCTGCTTCATTTCCTATACCTTTAGTTGTGTACACCTTGCAATAGTCAAAGTCGTCTACATTGCCTTGAGGCAAATTAGATTGTTTCAAGAGAAATGTAAATAGAATCCAAGATCAAAACTCATTTTATAAAACAAAACTCTTTGTGGGGGGAGCATTTTTTATTTGTTATTTTCTTCTTTTTTTGTGGACGGAGTCTCACTTTGTCACCCAGGCTGGAGTACAGTGGTGCGATCTCAGCTCACTGCAACCTCTGCCTCCCGGGTTCAATCGATTCTCCTGCCTCAGCCTACCAAGTAGCTGAGACTGCAGTTGAGAGCCATCACGCCTGGTTAATTTTTATATGTGTAGTAGACACGGGGTTTTACCTTGTTGGTCAGGCTGGTCCTGAACTCCTGACCTCAAAGTGGTCCGCCCACATTGGCCTCCCAAAGTGCTGGGATTGCAGACCTGAGCCACCACTCCCAGCCTGTATATTTTATTTTTTTAATTGAAAAATAATAATTGTACATATTCATGGGACATATAGTAATTTTAAAAAAAGTTTATATATTTAAAGGATATAAGTGCAGATTTCTTACATGCATCTGTTACATAGTGATGAAGTCTGGATTTCTCATGCAACCATTGCCAAAATAGTAATTTGGGTACTGTTAGTAATAGTACCCGAATAGTGCTGATAGTAAGAAGTGATGTTTCAACGCTTACTCCCCCTGACACCCTCCCATTTTTTTAGTCTCCAATGTCTATTATTCCTCATTTATAAAACAAACCTCTTAATTTGTGTGTTGGGAAGGGAGAGGGTGAAGATGTATTTGTGTCCGTATGTATAAGGAAACAAATATGTCTTATTGAGATTATTAAGAACAAAAAAGACACCTAAAAATAAAAGGAAAAGACTTCCCACACTTGCAAGTATCTATCTCAAGACTTCCCTGTATCATCAAGGCAGGCAGACTGCTTGAGTCCAGGAGTTTGAGACCAGCCTGGGCAACATAGCTAGATCCCATCTCTAAAAAAAAACGAGAGAGAGAGAGAGAGAAAGAGAATTCTCTCATATGATGTTGTTTTGCTAAAATGAGAAAGTGGAAGGTCTGGGCTTCCCAAAACAAAGAATCTAACATCCTAGAGAGATGAATGCCTTCACCATGGTGATGATGAAGGAGGAGCTCAGAGACAGCCACGCCTCAGGCCCCTTGATCTGCTGATGCAGATGGGAGCAGCTCAGGAGGAGACTGTAGCCTCAGGCACACAGATGTATGAAGGAGGAAAGTACCCGAGGAGCTATGTCACTTGCCAGACATCCTGAGCTATCGCTTTAAGCATATGGGAAGGCACACAGAGGCTCATGTTGAGAAGCATTTCACCAGAATGCTTTGGTAGAAAACAAAGACCCCCATACAGCCTCATAGCCGCACCTGAGACAGAGGTTCCCAAATGGTCCCAAAGTACAGGAGGAAAACTACAAAGCCAAACATGAATGTTTGGCACGTCTAATTAAATGTTTACAGATTTTTTTTTTTTTTGAGATAGAATTTCTCTCTTGTTGCCCAGGCTGGCGTGCAATGGCACGATCTCGGCTCACCACAACCTCCACCTCCCGGGTTCAAGTGATTTTCCTGCCTCAGCCTCCCAAGTAGCTGGGATTACAGGCATACACACTACGTTTAGTAGAGAAGTGGTTTCTCCATGTTGGTCAGCTGGTCTTGAACTCCTCAACTCAGGTGATCCGCCCTCCTCAGCCTCCCAAAGAGCTGGGATTACAGGCGTGAGCCACCACGCCTGGCCCTTGTTTACAGATCTTATGGTGACAAACTGACTGCAACCCACTGCCCTACATACGTATCACATGTGTGCATGTGTGTGCGTGTTTATTGCGGGTTATGGGTACATTTTTATATATTGTAGGATGAAGCTTCCAAAAATAAGTTTGATTGGGGGCAAGAGGAAATAGTTAATGGTTACAAAAAAAAATAGAAAGAATGAAGAAGACCTAGTATTTGATAGCACAATAGGGTGACTATAGTCAATAATAAGTGTATATTTTATAATACTTAGAGAATGTGGCCGGGCACAGGGGCTCATGCCTATAATCCCAGTACTTTGGGAGGCTGAGGCAGATGGATCACCTGAGGTCAGGAGTTTGAGACCAGCCTGACCAACATGGTGACACCCCATCTCTACTAAAAATACAAAAAATTGGCTGTGTGTGGTGGTTTGTGCCTGTAATCCCAGCTACTCGAAAGCTGAGGCATGAGAATCTCTTGAACCCAGGAGGCGGAGGTTGCAGTGAGCTGAGATCACACCACTGCACTCCAGCCTGGTGACAGAGCCGGGCTCCGGCTCAAAAAAAAAAAAAGGAGAAAAGAAAAAAATATTAGCCTGATGTGGTGGTGCATGCCTGTAGTCTCAGCTATTTGGGAGTCTGAGGCAGGAGGATCACTTGAACCAGGAAAGGTCAAGGCTGCAGTGAGCCGTGATCATGCTGTTGCACCCTAGTCTGGGTGACAGAGTGAGACCCTGTCTCAAAAAAAGAAAAAGAAAAAAAAAGTCCACTTGTTTAGAAAAGGAGTGGTGTTGTGGAAGCGGTGGATTTTATGTTGAGGAATCAGCACCCGGTGTTAGGGGAGCCTGCCTCTGGGTCCAGGCCCGGGTGTAGTCACTGACTCTATGGGATCTTCGCCAGCAAGTCAAGTGCCCTCTCTGTTTCCTGGTGTCTTCTTCTGACCATTCCTGCAGTTTCCAGCTCCCGAGGGTGTGAGAGAGATCCAGTGAGATAATGGGTGTAGAAGTGCTTTGAAAAGGACAGCGTGCCGTCCGAGGGCATGGTGTTGGCATTTCCATACTAATCACCTCGCACCGGGTTGCTGAAAGGGCTGAGCAGGGTAATGGACGTGGAAGGCCCTTGTAAATTACAAAATGCGAACGAGATGGAGAATGATCAGTAGCAGGGCATGATTATCTATGTGGTTCCGATAACAACACCATTTTGCCACCTGCTGCCCAGACATTTCTGTAACGGCACGACTTTTCAAAGGCATGAACTGTGCATGCTGGGGTTTGCCCAGCTGTAAAATGAGATACCTCCAGGGATGGCAAACACAGCCAGCTCTCACGGATCCATGGAAATGTTTAGACTGGAAATGAGGTGCGGAGGGACAGAGTCACAGGCTTTATAAAGGATATGAAGCCCTGCCAAGTAGAAGAGCGTTGGCTCAGAGGACAGAAACAGTGACCACATGGATTCAGTAGATGCTTTATAGAGGCAGATTGGGCTCAGGACATAGTCTTAATTGCATAATTACTTAGAATACCTCATTACCTCCTTAAACCCCTTCTGCCTTTAAATGTATTTCCTCGTCTGGGCATGTTGGCGTACATCTGTTACCCCAGCACTTTGGGAGGCTGGGGTGGACGGATCACCTGAGGCTAAGAGTTCGAGACCAGCCTGACCAACATGGTGAAACCCTGTCTCTACTAAAAATGCAAAAATTACCAGGGTGTGGTGGCAGACACCTGTAATCTCAGCTACTTGGGAGGCTAAGGCAGGAGAATCACTGGGACCAGGAGGTAGAGGTTGCAGTGAGCCGAGATTGCGCCATTGCACTCTACCTTAGGTGACAGAATGAGACTCCCTCTCAAAAAAAAACAAAAAACAAAAAAACAAAATGTGTTTCCTCCTTTACCCCTCTTAGCTGCTCTGGGAGATCGTGTCTTTTTTAATCATTACATTTTACAGTTAAAGATACTGAGACTTGAGGGATTATGTCCAAGGTTACATCATTGAACAAGTGGGATTTATCAGCACGTCATAAAAGCTGCAAAGCCAGCCAGGCACGGTAGCTCACGCCCGCCTGTAATCCCAGCACTTTGGGAGGAGACCGAGAAGGGTGGATCATGAGGTCAGGTGTTCAAGACCAGCCTGGCCAACATGGTGAAACCCCATCTCCACTAAAAATACAAAAATTATCTGGGTATGGTGGATCACCTGTAATCCCAGCTACTCAAGAGGCTGAGGCAGGAGAATCGCTTGAACCTGGGAGGTGGAGGTTGCAGTGAGCCAAGATCACGCATTGCACTGCCGCCTGGGTGACAAGAATGAGAACTTGTCTCAAAAACACAAACAAACAAAAAACAAAACCAGGCAAAACAAAACAAAACTGCAAAGCCCATCCTCTTACAGCAGTGTGGAGCTTGTATGGTAAGCGCCACAGTTATGCAGGTGTCATTTCCCGTGTGGTTTTATGAATGGGTGTTTTCCATCATGGCAAGTGTGTAAGTCCCAGTGACATGATTTGGATTTGTGTCCCTACCTGAATCTCAAATGGAATTGTAATCTTCAGTGTTGGAGGTGGGGCTGGGTGGGAGGTGATTGGATCATGGGGGGTGATCCTCCATGAATGGCCTAACATCAGCCCTTTGGTGCTGTTCTTATGACAGAGTTTTCATGAGATCTGGTTGTTTAAAAAGTGTATAGCATCCCCCTCCTCTCTCTCTTTCTCCCTACTTCAGCCACATTAAGTATCTACTTATCTTTTGCCTTCCACCATGATTGTAAGTTTCCTGATACCTTCCTAGAAGCTGAGCAGATGCCAGCGCCATGCCTCCTGTACAGCCTGCAGGACCATGGGCCAATTATACCTCTTGTGTTTATACATTACCCAGTCTCAAGTATTTCTTATTAGCAATGTGAAAATGGATTAATACAGTTGGTCAGACCAGTTTCTTATGGGAGCATTGCAGAAGTATGAGGGGGAGGCCGCATTGAAAATATCAGTGGATCCCAGCACTTTGGGAGGCCAAGGCAGGAGAATGGCCTCAGGCCAGAAGTTCAAGACCACCCTGGGAAACATAGGAAGACTTGTCTCTACAAAAATTAGCCAGGCATGGTGGTATGCACCTGTAGTTTCTGCTGCTCAGGAGGCTGAGGTGGGAGGATCGCTTGAGCCCAGGATGTTGAGGCTGCAGTGAGCTATGATCACACCACTGCACTCCAGCTTGGGTGACAGAGTGAGATCTTGTCTCAAAAAAAAAAAAAAAAAAAAAAGAAAAAGAAAAGAAAACAGGTTCCCAGATCCCAGCTCAGACCTTCTGCATGAGCATTCCAGAGGCAGGAGCCCAGGAATCTATTTTTAAAAAGTTCCCTGGGTGATACTGCTGAATAATCATAACAAGAAACCGCTGCCCTCCAGCATCTATTTAGCAAAATGCAGAACACCTGGACCGTTCTTAGACTATTTGTTCCTTAATGATTGATGTATCAATCTAGCAGCAACTCACATTTCCCCAGGCCAGTTGCACCTTCCTTGAAGCTGAAATGGTGGCGATACCAGCTCAGGCTCTGGAAACCCAAGAGAGTCCTCCCATCCTGCCACCTGCCCCGAGCGGTATGATCAGTGCACAGAGGACTGTCTCCTGTGAGCTGGTGGGTGACCATCTTCTTGGTGACTGCCAAGTGTTCTTTCCCAGATTATCCTCAGCAAGAGCTGGGTAGCAGCCTGTTTGCCATGGGGCTCCCACTGCCAGTCCAGAATCAGCCACGTGACTCAGCGCCGAGCTTGCCTTTGGACGCACACGTCATTCACTCTCAGAAGCCATTCCAGCAAGGGCTGCTTGTGCTTTCTCTGCCTTGCATGTGAAGTCAAGGGTATCTGCTCCATATGGCACTGCGTAATTCACAGCACAGTTTAACTCCTGCTTCTATAGCCTATTCCATGGAAAGCTGCCATTTGCATATTTATTAATTTACAAAATTAATGCCACTTTCTTAGTCCCTTACAGGATGTGTTGCCCGTCCCTGTCTTTGAATTAATTTTAATCTAAGGTGGAAACATTTGTTAAGGGAGTTGGCTCAGGCCAAAGTAATCAAATGCTTGGTAATCAAATGCAGGTAGCGGGTGGGGAAGAGGGAGCTAACATTTATTGAGTGCCTATCTCTGCCAGCCTCCAAGAAAATTAATGGTGCAGAATGGATGTCTCCAGAAACATCCTCGTAATGTGATATTATCGCTGTTTTATAAATAAGAATACTGAGAGAGAATG